GCCAACATTCATTGGACAGCCTCCAATGCCAGTACATCTTCCCCTAGATAATGACTCAAAACTTGGCTGTAATGCATTAACTTTCTTCATCCAAGCCATCAAGTATATCTTGTAAATAACCGTGGACCCAGCACTGATCCCTCTGGTACCACTAGTTATAGGTTGCCAGTCTGAAAATGAACCCCCTATCCCAACTTGCTGTATTTTATTAGATAGCTAACCCTCTATCTGTACTACTTTCAATACAATGGCTGTATTCAAGTAGCCTGATGTATGATACCTTATCAAATGCCTTCTGAAAATCCAAATATATTAGATCCACTGCATCTCTTTTATCTATCCTGCTTCTTACTCCCTCAAAGAATTCTAGTAAATTTTCAGGCATGATATCCCCTTCATGAAGCCATGCTGAATCTGCTTGATCATAAGTTAATTGGCCACAGGGCTCCTCTCTCATTAGAGAGACAAAGATGACTGGTGATGGTTTAGCCTGAGGGTCACCACACCTTAGGTAAGGGGAGAGGCTGAGAAGGAGAGTCTTTCACAGTTACCTCAAGCAGTTCAGGAATTGAACCCATGCATTACCCTGCATTGCAGACCAGCCATCCAGCCAACTGAGCTAAACAACCCCCTTGCACCTCTGGTAAATGTACCCAGATGGGTGGGTAAAGGGTATAGTCAAAAATGTTGGCAGCCATCAAAGTAGAAAAGACCCAGAGGAAATGACTGAAGACAGTGACAGTGAAAGGTTAAGGTTCAGGTCACAAGCTGTGAATCATCCTTGATACGGGGACTAGCAGGTGCCAGAAGCATGAGAATGACAAATATTACATGAATGTTCAAAAGAGAGGGCCAGACCTGTAAACGCTGAGCCAATCAGACTTAGGTCAGATTAAAGAAACTTCTAAAATCTATGATGCCATTGATCACATGTTGGGAAAAAAAAAGGCTAATTAATTAAAGTCAGCACTGATTTGTTAAAGGTATATTGTCTTTAACTAACATGATTGAGTTCTTTGATGTATTGGAAAGGATTAATGCAGATAAATAGTAGACATTGTGCTTATTCTTATACCTCACTGGATAGCATACTGAATGAACAGCCATCCATTCTTCATTCATAGTTCTGTGAGGATGTCTCCACTTCCTCATCAGAACTCCATCTGTAATATAATAATACTTTGTAACTTCAGCCTTAGCTTCAGTGTGAGCTGTCTATGCTAACCTATGTAAATCTGGTTCTGCTTCCTGAGCCTCAATTAATGAAGATGTGCCAAACTATCCTCATTCATAGAGTTTCAGTGACTCTAATGGCTTGTGGCATTATTGTGAGCTCTGTGATAGACTTTGTTTAGCCATTGCCCTGGTCACTACAACATACTGGAACCAATTCTTGCAATTGTCCATAATGTCCAGGAAAGTGCAGGCTATATGGATGAGACATGGGAAATGCAGGGTTGCAAGGATAGGATATGGGGTGGATCAGGGAGGAATGCACTTTGGAGGATCAATGTGTACTTGATGGGCTGAATGGCCTGTTTCCACACTGTAGGGATTCTATGTTCCATCTCTTTAGCCTCATTTTCCATGATTATAGTTGAATCTGTAACTTTCACTTCTGCTATATGATTACCCCAGAATTGAATCAACTTAATCGACAGGTAAGATCCAGACCTCACTGGGACTGCAATCTGTGCCCCACTATTACAATTCCCATCATCAAGGCAAACTCCAACAGGACTTTGTACCCATTTATGAACACTTTGGTTTTTACTGAATCCTCTGGAGGGAAAACTAATTCCTTCTCCAGCAAAGATTTTGAGTAGCCCTATATTCCTTAGCATTGTTATTGGGATTGGGTGCTTTCTTTGAAGAAAAAGGAGTTTCTTTTAGTCAAAAACTCTTCATACCTCTCAACTACTTTACTATGCACTCATAGTAAAAGCAACAATCTGATCCATGGCCTTTTCCTTTTGCATTTCCTTTTCAGATTCACTCTTATGAGCTCCAATAATTCACAGGGGTTTTCCTTGCAACTTATATTTTGAATGAAGGTGTCTTGCCTTGTTATGAAGGAAACACCTTAGCTTCCAATTTTCACCTCCATCCTCAGTACCTCTGCTTCTGCCTTGGGGCACTTCCAGCTATGCTTTCCTTATCTTAATTAGTTGTCTTCCTTTCACCCTCCCATTTTTTTTATCTCTTTCAAATTTTTGAGGTTGACAGAAAAACAATTTGTCTTGTGAATTAACTCATAATGGTCAGCCATTATTGCTATGCGGTTAGCAATTGCAAACCTTTTGTCCGCAACATGGGTTCTTATTATGGATTGTAGTAAGTTTTTGAATTTGCCTAGGATAACAATCTGTCTAAGAATTCCTGACATGGTTCTGTCAATCTGGTTAAGAATCCCTTCCATAGTTTGTCTTCTAAGGCCTATCTTAAATTATTTTGCTTAACCTTTTTGAGTTCAATATAGATTTGCCTATACTGTTTCCTTAAATGCTGGAACATTAATCTAATGCCTCAGTCACTTATCCATACACAGCCAATATATTCTCTTTATAGTATTATAAACATCCTCTGACAGTGAAGCATAAATTTCCTCTGCCTTATTTGTGAACTAATGCTGCATGAGTAGCATCCATTCCTTTATTGCTAAATTCATTTGTCTTGCTATTTTCTCAAATGAAATGAAGAATGCTTCCACATCCTTTTCCTTAAATTTAGCCTGTGCAAACTTAAATACTTCCTTACCGGACTTCAAATTATGACTCAGATTCTTTCTACCTAGACCTGTATCAGCATTCAAAGTCTTCAGTGTCAATGGAAGCATTTTAAGTTGATACTCATTTCTTTTGCATTCACCTTCTCATGTTCTAATTCTAGTTTTCACATTTCAAGTCTTTTAGTTCCATTTCCCTATCCTTATCCTTTTCTGCTTTTTCTTCATCTTTGTCTGACATCTCTATTTTCTTCATTCTCTCCTCATGATTAAGCTGTTTTGACCATAAATTAGCATTACACAATTCTGATGTTTCACTCCCCAGAATACCTGGTCTCACTTGTATTGTGTTGTGCCAGTCCTCAATTATCATTGCATTCCTAGCTCTGCCAGGCAATGTTTTCTCCAGTTTACCAATTTATTCAAGCAATCTTGGTTTTGAAAGTTTCGTTTGACTGCCAGACACCTCTGCCACTTGCATGAAATCCTTTGCCATTCCATTGCCATGTATTATATTCAGTACAGTACTTGGTGTTTTCCTTAGCTGTTTTATTTACTAATGCCACACCTATATCCTCATTGTCTTTGTTTCCAATCAATTCAGGATGACGCCCCAAACTTGTATCACCTCACTGGGACTGCAATCTGGAAATTAAGCCCCATAGTTCCTGGAATCATTGCAAAAACTAAAGATTTTATGAAAGTACAAAATTCCCTATTTTATCTGTCTTTTAAACCCATGTTGACAGGTATCTGTACTTAGTAAGAAGGCTTATTGCAAATTAAAGGATTCAAGCTATAGATAATTTGTTAATTTTAAATTTGAGACAGATAATGATTTATTAAGGAAAGGTATTAAGGGGTGTGGGCCAAAGACAAGTGTATGGAATTAGGCCACAAATCAGCAATGATCTTATTGAATGGTGGAACAGGTTCGAGGGACTGAATGGCCTATTCCTGTTCCTATATAAACAATTATGAACTGTTGACATTTAATTCCATGAGGCAAACCTTTATTCCCTTACAAACTCCAACCCTTCCACACACACACACACACACACGCACAAACACAGAGACAAGAAATGAAAAGCATCAGTTTGATGGCCTGTGGGATAAACTTAGATGACCATTCAATGGTCCTTATTTACAGAGTTCACTGAGATGATCCTCTTGGTTTGTACTGCTCCTCGATTGTCCTTCTCTAGATACTTTTGCTTACTTGAAGAAGGTAATGGTGGATGATTCACATTTATAAAGTCTCTGGTGTACTGGGTAAAGTCACAGTTTGCAGCAACGGCAAGTTTAAAGTGACTTTACTACAGAGAAAACAGACAGCTACTGTCCTTGGAGAGGTTCGATGGCTTCTCCGAATATTTACACCCCTACGCCATTCAGAAATGTTTAAGTGGAAGCCGATCACATAATTGTTGGCAGGCAGGAGGCCTTTGCAACTGATTACTGGTCACTAGTCCTCAGACCAATCAGCCAATTTTTGCCAGCCAAGTCATCGTTAGCGCACAGCCCCCTAGCTGCAGTCCTCTGTACCTGCGCTTTCCCCCACTGCCTGCACAAACGTCTGTGTAAGCGGTACGTATAACAAGTGTCGGGTGACTTCGTTTTAGAAAGTGCAACAATCTTTGATTTTTAAAAGTTATTTTCCCATTTCGGTCCTCCTTCAAGAACAGAGAAAAATAATTTTAAAAATTGTCTTTACAATGGACTTTGAAATGTTAAAGTATCACATAAAAGACTATTGAGTGAAATGAAAGGCGATGGGTTTAACGGAAGAATGCAGTATGAGTACATGGGGAGTTAGTTAAAGGATACAAAGCAACAGGTGAATATGAACAGTTGTTTTTTTTTTGGATTAGAGCATATGCAGTGGTGTTTCCAGCGGTATGTATTCTAACCAATTCTCTTTTTCGCCTGGAAATGTCTGCACAAAGACGTAATTTCAAAGTGGCAAATGATAAAAAGTTAAGAAATGTGGTAAACCATAAGAGGGATAGTAACAGCCGAGGTGGATAAAAATCTTCTAAAAATCGAGGAGCCACTGTTAGGTAGGTCAGCACAGGAACGGTGCGTGAACGAGACATTCAGAGTTCGCAAACAGACACTTTTAGTGGTTTCCGCTTTCGAAACAAAAACTTGAGGAAGCAAACGGATAGAGATGTATATTGGTACAGGCCTTTCAATCAGTACGCGGCACCGCTACCATGCTGCTCTAACTCGGTTAGTTCTCTTCTGAAAATGACAGTGTGACCTCTTCCGGCAGTACCCTCACGAGGTTAACGGCACACCGATGTACCTGTATGAAGTGGCGACTGAATCCGTTTGTGAATCTGCTGCGAGACTTCTCTTCATGAGTATCAAATGGGCCAAGAGCGTACCCGCGTTTTCCACACTCCCCTTCCCGGATCAGGTGAGTCGAGTCCATCATCATCACCAGAGCCTCCCCCTTCCTCTCAGGTTAAACCGCAAACAGCTCCGGGTGAGGATAGAAACACGCAACGGCGACAATGAAAAGCGGAGGGAGCCTCAACAAATTAACATTCAAATGAAGATCCCAAAGAAGGTGCTGCAGTACGTTCATTAGGCAGGATACTCTTAAGCGAAGGGTCTGCTGGTGGGGTGTGTGGTGTCCTTTCTTCAGCAAGTCTGGGAAAGATTCTTCTAGCCCAATGGTAGTGTCCTACCTCTGGTAGCAGCAAAGCCTGGCTTCAAATCCCACCTACTCCCGAGGTATCTCAAACACGTTTGAATAGGTTGATTTAAAAAAAATTGGACACTGCTGGAGGTACAGTATTCAGTATAAACAAGGGGGACAATTAGTAACTTTTAGTATCGACATAAAATTCAGAGAAGTTGAGCTGGAAGCTCGATACATGATTTCAAGGGAAGAATAAAGCAGAATAGGCCAGAAAGTCAAGGTTGAAGTCCCACCCGCCCAGTCATGTATCTGAACAAGTTGATTTAAAATAAAAGTCTGCATCAGTACAGTTCACTGAAAATCATTAACTTTTATGTTGAAAAGGCGCATCCCAAGTTGGAATCTATTCTAAACCGCCGCAGGATTCTACATCAGTTGTACCTGATACCTGCTCCTACGTCTTTTATGAGCTTTTTTGTTTTGATTAGTGATGAAGAACAGCGTAACTGCCTGTGATTTTGCCTGCACTACTCTGAAGGTATCAAACCTGGGTGCAATACCTCAGCACGGCAGTATGACTGGCCTGAGCAGATAGCTGTCCTTGTACAACACCACTCAGCCGCCACAGACCGGCGCTCCAATACTTCAGCAGACCCGCTAATGCAATTCCCACGTGGAAATGGGAAGGACACGAACTCGGAGGGTTCGAGTGCTACAAAAACCTCACCGCTAATTTCCAAATAACCTTGATTCTGGGTGAATATACTTTAAGGTGTCTAAAAGATGTTTTGCCAACTAGTCTACTATGCCAGACCTTTGTTTAAGGCCAAAACAGCATATTATGTGATTTAGTACATAAAACAAAGAGTTGCGGGTGCTGGAGATCTGTAACAAAGATAGAAAGCCCTGGAGAAACTCAGCAAGTCTGGCAGCATCTGTGCGGAGAAAGCAGAGTTAATGTTTCGTGAAGTCGCTGGATTCGAAAGTTAACTGTTTTCTTTCCACAGAAGCTGTCAGACCTGCTGAGTTTCTCCAGAAATTTCTGGTTTTATTTCAAATTAAGTTGTTATAAAAGAGCGAGGTTTCTAAAATAGCAATTCGTGAATTCTGGGGCGTGAGTGGATAGACCTGCAGGTGAGGTTTACACTCTTTGGGACAATGAACAGAGAGAACAGACACACGGCGGATCAGATCTGAAGTCGGAGACTGGGTGTGCAAAGATGGGAAGGTAGAGGAAAGACAGGAAAAACCAGCAATTCCGCGAAGACTGAGAGTAATCCTGGATGTCAGCTTCACTACTGCACAGAGATTCGGGCAGTGGTGAAAATGAGATAAAACATGCCTAAACACAATGTCGAGAAAATCCTTTAAAATGTCCTTCAAGTTTGGTTCTTCCAAACATTACGCTGGCAAGCAGCAAAAATGAAAGCTGGTTTTATCGAAAATAAGTGCTCATTTTTGTCTCACTCTAGCTTATTCTTTTGGAAGATGCCTGGAGGGAGCTTTTTGTTCTGGGAATAGCACAGTGGGCTATTCCAATCGATTCTAGTACTTTACTAGCTGTGTCTGGTGAGTGGCTTTTTAATAAAGTTAATAGCTAAGATTAAAAGATGGCACTTATTTGTCATTCTGTTAAATGCCACCTAAATTAGTGAAAATGTCCCATTAGTAGCTGGAGCCTTCCATTGGCCTCGCTGGATATTCGGTGTTATTTTCGCCTGTCCATTAATCTCGGTGTGTTTCTGGTGAGCGTCAGTCCGTGTGGCTGGGGTGGCAGCTCTTGAGTTTTATATACAATTCTCCGCCAGTAGCACCACGTCTACATGAACTGCTCCAGTAGACTTTCGGCAGCTGTTAGCCACCATGTTTCACACTTTTGGTTGCGAAAGCAAAACTGACCCTCACATACCACCGATTCCCCAGGGGAGCGCAGATACGAGAGTTTTATCCGTAACCCCTCCCATCCAGCCCACCCGCCAGCTCTCCCCAGCCTCTGAAAATCCATGTGAGATCTCTGATATCAGAGGTGTGTTTGTAAAAGCGAAGCGCAATAGAGAGACGCAGCATTCCCCCATCCTCCTGCCCCAGCTCCGTCCCTCTCCTTCCCCTGCCACTCTCCTTCCCTGCCACTCTCCTTGTGCCCGCTACCATCCCTCCTCCCGCCCCCAGACCAGTCCCTCCCTTTACCACACCAACCCCCACACACCCAGCACACACATCTCTTGTTAGAGCCACTACGTTAAAAGGCTAATTCTCGAGGTAATGCTAACATTGCAAAATATTTCTTGTCAACATTCTTTTACACCCCCGGATGGTACAGCTGGATGAAATGGTTTATAAAACGGTCGGTTTGATAGCATCAGCGTAAAGGCCATCGCGCTCCCCTTGCGGCTTTTTGCAACTCCGTGAAATTCTGCAAACCAATCCAGCCCTGTGCTTTGGTTTCAATGAAAAGACCGAAGCGACTGTGGCTGAGACGGTAAAATTTAAGAGTCAGTGCATGTCTTCTCGTCACTTTCTCTCTCTCTCTGTCTAGGGATGAACGGTGATAACACCGACTCGGAGAAGTTGAACAAGATCATTGCAGAGATCCACGCCCTGCAAGAGGTGGTAGCGCGGTTCCGGCAGCTCCGGGTCGATGCCACCGAATTTGCCTGTTTGAAATGCATCGTGACTTTTAAAGCGGGTAAATCAAAGGCCTGTTGCCTTGTTAAACCTGACAGCGAAATTGAGCTTCAGAATCGCGAATGACATTGCAGAAATGATCCAGAATGAGGGCTGTGGGCGACTTCTGAAGTCTGAGGCTTGTTAGTTCCTCGTTAAAACCAGTGCAATCTCCGGAAAATACACACCAAAATATCTTTCCAGAGCAAGACACCCTCGGACGGTTAAAGACAAAACTGAGATCAGAAATCTCAGTCTGACCTGTTCCTTTCCAATATTAACCAGTTGCTGAGTTCAATTGTAATAAGGTTTTCTCGAGTGAAATAAATTTTTACAAACGATTGATACAATCACCCCACAAATAAAGCTGCTGGAAGTGCACAATAAGCATTTAACATATTTAGTGTTGTTAAGTCTTTAGATAGACTACTGCAGAATGTCACAGTGATTGCGATTTTTACCAATTTGGTTTTCGTGTGAGTTACTCATTTTGGACTTATTCACGTAACTCTGGAACAGCTCACTGATAGAAGGTCTTTTTTTTTCCACTTTGTTTCTTAGTTCCTACTCAGAGTGGCTCAGAACTTAGAAATTTCCGGAATGCTTCAGCAATCGCAGCGTTGCAGGACGAAGCTCAGCTGACCTTGAATAGTTACATCCACACCAGGTAAAAAGGAGAATAGGCTCCTAAGAGGGTTGCAGCTAGGCCAGAGGGAATGGACAATGCACCAAGGCATCTGGTGAATTTTCAAATTCACTCAATTGATGTGGGCATCACAGGCTGGGCCAGCAGAATTACCCATCATTATTGTCCCAGAAAGGTGGCAGTGAGCTGCCTCTTGAACCACTGCAGTCCCTTTTATGTATACAGACCCACAGAGCTGTTAGGGAGGGGAGTGGGTGGTTCCAGCATTTTGACCCAGACACCACAAAGGAAGGCTATATATTTCCAAGTCAGGATTACGTGTAGCTTGGGTGCCAAATATACAGGTGGCAGTGCTCTCATCTCCTGCCCTTATCTTTCCAGGTGGGAGAGGTCATGAGTGGAAGTTGCGCTCAAATGAGAGTGGGTGAGTGAGTTGCAGTGCATCTTGTTAACAATACACACTGCTATCACTGTGTTTTGGTAGTGATGGGAGTGAATGTTAAAGGTGGGTCAGATAGCCTGTCAATCATATGGTTTGCTTTGTTCTTGAGTATTGTTGGAGCTGTACCCATCCAGGTAAGTAGAGAGTATTCCATCACACTACCTGACATGTGCCTTGTAGATGATGGACAGGCTTTGGAGAGTCAGGAGGTGAGTTACTCACTGCACAATTCTTAGCCTTTGACCTGTTTCTGTATCTATAGTGTTTAAGTGGCTAGTCCAGTTCTGTATCTAGTCAATGGTAATTCCCAGAATGTTGAGAGTGTGGATTCAGTGATGGTAATGCCATTAAATGAGAAAGAGGGGTGTTCAATTTCTCTGGCTGGAAATGATCTTTGCCTGTCAGTTGTGAGGCATGAATGTTGCTTTCCACTTATCAGCTGTTGTGGATCAGACTAAACCCCCTCAAAATATATTCCAAAGATAGCCTAGAACATAACTTTCTCTTATTTTTAAAGGCATGTGTAAGGCTTTGTGTTCTAGATGCAATTTGCTTGGTCAAACTACCAAATTTGAAGCAAAACACACTTTATTCCTACACTATAGTTGAAGTACAAACAAAAAAAAAATGAATTTGACTAACTTAACTCTATTGAAAAACTTGACAGAATAATAGATTATGTAACTACTATGTATCAATGGTTCTAGTATAGCAACATGTCATAAACACTCGTTTGGAAAAGGCAATTCAGTAAAATAGATTGTCTCACATGCAATTTTCTGGTCCAGGAGGAAAGAACATCAAGAGAAAACTCTGAGAGAGAGAGAATGTAAGTGTTCTGTTGTAGCAGGGAGAGATACACATCAGTGTCTGAACCCCAACAGTTACAGAAAGTTAAACTAAAATCCTGGTTCTCTGGGAACTTGACCCCAATCGTTCGTGCTGCTTCTATTGTTCCAACTTAAAAAACCTCCAAGGCCTTACAAGCTGTTCACTTCCTTGGCTTGGAAATGACCGCTCATCACCTCCGTATCAACTTCTCTTTATAAAAAAAGGACAAAATACACCTCTCAAAGCCACAGTGTCATCACACCTCCCTCCTTAAAAAAAACTGAACCATCAATATACAACGACAACTTCATTTGTAAACGTCTCCTTCCCAATTGTGGAATATTTCTGTTGATGGATAGAATCATAGAATTCCTACAGTGTGGAAACAGGCCCTTCACCCCTACAAGTCCACACTGACCCACAGAGCATCCCACCCATCTTCACATGACACACTCTGTAAGGTTTCTTTCTATCAGGTGTTCTTATCAAATAATTCATCTCACTCAATTTCCTTTCAATTTGATAAGGCCTACTAAACCATACCTTTCAAGGTTCACCTACCACTGGGAGTAACACTAACACTTTATCTCCACTAGCAAAATTGTGATTTTTTTAAATTGCTTGTCTGCACCCTATTTCATCGTATGCTGTGCTACCTTTAAATGCTATCTAGCCAACTCACCTGCTCTATTTAATCTCTCTCTAAAATTTGACACATTGTCTAAATATGTAGTCTTGGAACTATAATTCACCAATTTCTCCTTAATTAATTTCAGTGGTCTTCTCACCTCATGCCCAAAAACTAATGCAAATAGTTTGAATTTAGTGGATTCATTACGTGCATCCCTAACTGCCAAAAGTTCAAATGGAATTCCTTAATCCCAGTCCTCTGGAGAGTCTTGATTATAAACCCTCAATGTGGACTTTAAAGTTTGATGCAACCGTTCTAATGTTCCCTGCAATTCTGGATGGTACACAGTGGTTTTGAATTGTTTTATTCCTACGCTATCCATAACTTCCTTGAACAATTTTGATGTAAACTTTGATCCTTGATATGATTGTACTTCTGTGGGCAGTCTACATCTAGAAAAGAATTTGAGTAATTCTTCTAAAGTCTTTTTGGTTGTGATACTGCATATTGGAATGTCTGCTCATTCTAGGCTACCCACATGAGGAATCAATTTTCTATATCAACATTTTCAATCCACTTTAGCATCTTGTATACCTCAATTAGGTTTCTTCTCATTCTTCTAAACTTCAGAAAATGCAGGACTAAACTTCTCAATCTCTCTTGATAAGACAAACTCCTCACCTCCAGAATTAATCTAGTGAACCTTCTCTGAACTGCCACCAATGCAACTACATCCCTCCTCAAGTAAGGGGAACAAAACTATATGCAATACTTCAGGTGTGATCTCACTAATGCCTTGTACGGTTACAGAAACACTTAATTTAGCAATAAATGGCAAAATTCCATTTGTATTCCTTATTAGCTGCTGTACCTATATACTAGTTTTCTGTAATCATGCACAAGGACACCCATATCCCTCTGCAATGAAGCACTCTGAAGTTTCTCTCCATTTGGATAATAAGTTGTCTTTCTATTCTTCAGACAAATGGGTAACCTTACACTACTCCACATTAAACTCCATCTGCCAAAGTTTGGCCCATTCAGCTAACCTATCCATATCCATGTGTAAATGCATTACTTCTTTATTACAACTTCCTTTACCATCTATTTTACTATCAGCTGCAAATCTGGCTATAGTCCCTTCTGTCCCTGCATCCAAGTCTTTGATTTAGACTGACTCCTGTGGCATCCAACCCAAGCTAATAAATTATCACTAACCCTATGTGATCTTACCTTGTATATTCAGCTCTTTGTGCAGCACCTTATCAAATGTCTTCTGGAAGTCCAGATATACTACATCTACAGATTCCCCATTATCCACTTTATTTGTTCCATCTTCAAAGAACTCTATTTATTAGTAAACATGATTTACCCTTCATAAAACCATGGTGACTCTGATAGATTGTATTTTGACTTTCCAGATGTCCTTTTATTACTTCCTTACTAATAGATTCTAACAATTCCCCAATGGCAGATGTGAAACTAATTGTCTACAGACAGATGTTTTACTAACTGGTCTATAACTTCCTGCATGTACCAAACTCTGCAGAAACAAATCAACAAATAAGGGTTGCCTATTCTATTAATCTTAACTCTGTAATCTCTCCTTGGAGTAAATGATTTAATATTGCATGCTCTCTCTAGTTTTTGTTTGACTTTTCAGTTACTCTGTAACAAGGTACAAGACAGTACCTGGAGTCAACATTTATGAGGGGCAAACAGGAAAATGGAATTAAAGCTACAATCAAGTCAGACATGATTTTATTGAAAGATGGAGCAGGCTCGATGGCTTATTGCTGCTCATATATCTAATGCTCTTATTACATAGGTTGGGCTTCTTTCCATCATCTTTGCCAAAACACCTTTAGCTATTCCTTCTTCCAGTTCGTCATGAGGTTTGCCACTGGCCACATGGGAAATTGTGCGTCTTAGAATCACAAAGCAGGTTGAGGCAGCAAAAATGGGATTGGAATGGTTAGGGTGGCGATTTTGACTAGTGCTGAAGTGATGGACCGAAGGGCTTTTCTCTGTGCTGTAAACCTCTATGACTCTATGACCAAACATCATCCACAGGTCAGCCCAGTTACATGGCACTTCTTTCTAAAAACGTGGCATCTGAATCATAGTCTTCATGTCCAAAATGCCAACACACCTCTCGTTTTGTCTGTTCCAGATACCCAGCACAGCCGTGCCGTTTTGGCAAGTTGCTTCTACTTCTGCCTGCTTTACGCTCGGTGAACCCCTCCACCATTGAAGAGGTGTTCTTCAAGAAAACCATTGGAAACGTCCCCATCACAAGACTCTTGTCAGACATGTACAAGTCCAGCGACATTTAACTGGAAACCTGTTCACACAGATAACCAACTTCACCGGTACCATAAGAGAAACCTTCTTCGGCTTGTACTTGAGCTGGACTAACAGAACTCGCGGCCATTACTGTCAAAACCAAACTGTTTCATAAACCTCCATAAACTGTGGCCGGGGATTGTTAATAACTGTGTAGCGCTCCATTCGTATCTGAAAATTGCCTGTCATTTTACAATTATTTTTGTTTGAACTTCGCCTTGATTAGTGAGTTCAGTCTTGGATGATTTCTGTTACTTTCCCTTAAAACAATCACTGAATGTTTGGCACACTTGGCATTTCAACGTGAGCGCGTTTTCCCAACGCTAGCGGTAAGCAGGATGTTAAAATCGGTCCCAGTTCCTGTGGTGTTGGGCTGCTAGTGTATAGTCGGCCGTTTGAGCTGAATTTCGGGCTGAACGGAATTACAATGTGGGGACTGTGGGTGCTTTCGATGTGGCAAATGCTTAACAGCTCTCTCACGACTTGTTTCCCATGCATCACATGCTAAACCACAAAGTAGGTTTCATAGCTGATACTGCAACCTCCTGCTAAGTTCTGTTCTGGTGAGCTCCATTCTGTAAGAAAGCAGCCGCTTAGTCAAGATGTGAGAAGGTTCCTGCATGGTTGTCTGGTAGCGGTGTTCCCCAGTATACTCTGAGTAGATTATTTTAATTTTCCCTTCCTTTTAACATCTCAAAGATGCTCTACAGAAATGGGTGTGTGCTCGACACGTGTGTAAATTAGACCAACTGAATGGGAGGTGTGAACTGAAGGACACAGCCCGCTGGTCGCTGTCCAGTGACTTAGTTCTGAAACCAGAAGGGGCGACAGTTCGAGGGATAAACCCAAACCGCAGCCGAAGCTGGAGTTCAGGCCTGCAGCTCCCAGCCCAGATGGAAGGCCATTGGAGAATGTCCGATCAGTCACAGACTCATTTAGAAGTGCCTTTCTTTATTTTCTTGAGGTATTCGGAGAATCTACCCAGCAACAGTCGGTGGGAGAAGGGCGATCCCACGTTCAACCAGCCGCCGCTCATCGGGAAAGTTGTTGCATCTTTCAGCACTGGGTCAGTGAAATAGCTCTGAGGCAATCAGCACTTGGACATTTTTCTTCTCACGGAACGTATGTTGAGCCGTTCTGTTGTATAAGGATCAAATGTAATTGAGTTGTCAAAGCCAGGACTCTTGTAATTCATTTGAAATAGAGTTTAATTCTACAATTAAATATCGATGTTCAGAAGTGGTAACGGATCTTCTGTTAACTTACTGAAAGTACCAAGAACTTGAAGTCAGAAAACTGTTTTCGGCTTCACTGTTCTGCTGTTATATCTTTGAAATGTTTTTTTTTTCTTTCTAGGCTCAAAGGGAATTTTTTAAACTAAACATTGAGTTGCAAACGTCCAAGTTGCAACTTTAGTTCAGAATGAAACCCGTGAACTGCGTGTACAATTTGCTGAAATGAATCACAGATTCTTTACCCATATCCTAGCTTCGTGCGTGTTGATAGATTCAGCAGAAACACTGCTCAAAGCTCTGAGACAAACAGCACGCCTTGGTGAGATCACGTGAACAGAATTTCGATCGCTTTCTCAACTCGAGGCTCGTTTCTTATCTTCGCGAACCTCTTTCCCCACCCACAAGGAGCAGTGAGGAAGGGGTATTAACAGGCTGGGCCGCATCATTCATTTTCCTTCCCTGGCCAACAAGCCCCAGACGGGGTCTTGAACCCAGTGCTTTTGGCTCAAACGCAGAGGAGCTACTACAAGGCCACTCGACTGGGCTTAGCTTAATACCTCACTTTTGCTATTTTTTTCCCTCCTGGGTTGTCCAAAATGTCCTTACGGTTCACCACCTTCCAAAAGGAAAACTACCCACACTTTGACTCATATGTCCTAGTTAAACTTCACTAAATCCTTGATCCCACATCAACTCAAGGTAAAATTCCTTGTTCTCGTTTACAAGTTCATCAACAACCTCTCGTACCTTACCTGAGAAACATCTCAGTTCCTAAGAACCAGCCCATATTATAATACCCTTTGACATTAGCTTTTACATTATAGTATTATTTGCTTGGCAGCAGAATTTCTACTTGTGTTGGCCCAACTTCTGACACTCCCTTCATAGAATCCCTACAGCCCAGATAGAGGCAATTCGACTCATTGCGTCTTCACAAAGAGCATTCAAACCTATTCCTTTAACCCCACATTTACCATGGCTCATCCACCTAACTTGCACATCTTTGGACTTTGGGAGGAAACTGGAGCATTTGACAGAAACTGCACACAGCCAATTACCCAAATCTGGAATCTAACCTGGGTCCCTGGCACTGTGAGGCAGCAGTGCTAACTACTGTGCCACTGTGCTGTCCTTTCCAAGCTCTTTATTGAGGTCTCTGGCTTAGCACAGTGGTCACACTCTCTTCTGTCTTGAAAGACTGTGAGTTCAAAACTCACTCTAGGGCCTTCTGTGCAAGATCTAGACTTTTCATACCTTACATGCATATACAACACAGAAACAGGCCATTCAACCCAACAGAGATAGTAAGAATTGACAATGCTGGAGTCAGAGATAACACAGTGTGGAACTGAAGGAACACAGCAGTTCAGGCAGCATCAGAGGAGTAGGGAAGTTGATGTTTCGGGTCAGGACCCTACTTCAGACCCGAAATGTCAACTTTCCTACTCCTCTGATGCTGCCTGACCTGCTGTGTTCCTCCAGCTCCACACTGTGTTATCTCATTCAACTCAACAGATTGCTGATTGATCCAATATATATGGCTTTCCAGAGCCTTCTCCCATTTCTTCATTTAACTTTCACATATCCTTTCTCCCTCACACAAGTTTATCAAGCTTCCCTTCAAAATGTATCTGTGCGAGTTGTCTCAGCTACGTGGAGCAATGAATTCAAATTTTGGACAACTTTCTGGATAAATAAACATGTATTACCTATACAATTTAGTAGCAACTATTTCAATAATGACACTTAGATCTGGTCTGAACATCAAGGAAAATGGTTTTATTACGTCTATCCTATCAAACATTTCCATAATTATAAAGTCATTCCATAGGCTTTTTTTTGGAGAAGAGCCCCAGTCTATTGAATCTTTCCTGATGGATGCAGCCTCTCAGCTCTCATTCTAGTTAATACCTTCCTTGCGCCTTCTCCAAATCTTCTATTTTAGTTTTATAAAGAAGGGATCAAAAGATATTTGGTAAGGTGCCACACAAAAGGGTCACACACAAAGGGCTCATGGAGTTGTAGGGTGGTATATTATGGAAGGGATGGAAGATTGGTTAATGGACAGGAAGCAGAGAATAGGGACAAATGTGTTACTTTTGCATTTGCAGGCTGTGACTGATGGAGTGCCAACTCTAATCCCATTGCAATAAGAGCTTACATCTGTTGTTGTATCGGCATACTATTTTTTTTCTGTACCTTGTACAAGTACACCCAAGTCTCCCTGAACATCAACAACTACAAGTTTAGCACCTTTTAAGGAAATATCCTGCCTTTCTATTCTAATGGCCAAACTCAATAACTTCATACTTGCCCACATTATACTCCATCTGCCAGCTTGTTAACCATTCAATTAACTTGTTAAATCCCTTTGCAGCCTTTTTGTGTTCTCTTCACCGCTTGCATTCTCACATAGACTTGTATAATCAGCAAACCAAGATACATTGCTGTCAGTTGGCACTTATGTGCTATCTATATCATAACTTAGATAAAGAGACACAGTGATCTATTTTGGTTAGAAAATAGAAAGGTAAGACATTTTCTTAAAAGGTGTGAAACTTGTATTTGTGGATGTTTAGAAAGACTTGGGTGTACATGCACAAGGAACAGGAAAGAATAGTAACTCACTCAGAGATAGTAAGAACAGCAGATGCTGGAGTCTGAGATAACACATTGTGGAGCTGGAGGAACACAGCAGGCCAGGCAGCATCAGAGGAGCAGGAAAGCTGACGTTTTGGGTCGGGACCCTTCTTCAGAAATTTGGGAGGGGAAGGGGGCTCTGAAATAAATAGAGAGGAGGGGGCAGTGATAGCAGGTCGGTAGTGGTGGGGATTGGTCAGTGAGGTGGGAGGAACAAATAGGTGGGAGAGAAGCCGGACCGGTCAAGGAGGAGAGGATGAAGCTAGTGAAGGTGAGTGTAGGTAGGTAGTAGTGGGGATTGGGAGGACCGAATAGGTGGGAGAGAAGATGGACAGGTAAAGGAGGCGAGGATGAGGGGGTGGGCTGCTCTTGGGATGAGGTCGGGGATGGGGAGATTTTGAAGCTAGTAAAGTTCACATTGAGACCATTGGGTTGTAAGCTTCCAAGGCGGAATATGAGGTGCTGTTCTTCCAGTTTCTGGGTGGCATCATTGTGACACTGGAGGATACCCAGAATGGACATATTGTCCAGGGAGTGGGAGGGCAAGTTGAAGTGGTTCGCGACTGGGAGATGTTGTTGTTTGTCGCGAACCGAGCATAGGTGCTCTACAAAGTGGTCTCCAAATCTCCACTTGGTCTCACTAATGTAAAGGAGGCCACATCGGGAACAGCGGATACAATAGACCACATTAGCGGATGTGCAGATGAACTTCTGTTTGATGAGGAAGGTTTTTTTGGGGCCTGGGATGGAGGTGAGGGGTGAGGTGTAGGGTCAGGTGTAGTATCTCCTGCTATTGCAGGGAAAGGTGCCGGGAGTAGTGGGACTAGTGGGGAGTATGGCGTGGATGAGGGGGTCACAGAGAGAGCGGTCCTTCCGGAAGGCAGATAAGGGAGGGGAGAGAAAAATATCCTTCATAGTAGGGTCAGATTGCAGGTGTGCAGAAGTGGCTGAGAATGATGCGTTGAATCTGGAGGTTAATGGGATGATACGTGAGAACAAGGGGAATTCTGTCTTTGTTTTTATTGCGGGGAGGGGGTGAGGGGTCTGAGGTGCGGGGCAAGCAAGTGATGCGGTCGAGGGTGTTTTCGACCACTGAGGGGGGGGATGTTGCAGTC